GGCACCGCGTGATATCCAAGTCTTTTGTGTAACGTGAGAGCTCCTCTGACAATCCTCTCATCACAGGTTGATTCCCAATTCTCGAAAAAGATACCGTTCCCAGGCTCCGTCTCTGCCTTTCCGTACCCGTTGTATTGCACACAGAATGGCAGTACGGCATCAGCACAGGCACGAAGCACCGATTTCGTCAATCGCATTCGCAAGACAAAGTGGCACACCATTTGAGCATACGTCAGCCGGCATCCAGGCACCTGAGAAATGACGGCGGGTCGCCATCTTCAAAGGCCCTCGTCTCTTGCAAATTCCCATACCGCCCAATCGTCGAGTCTCGATGCCAAACATCCATCACCGCATTTCAATATCGAGCCTGCATCGCCTCCGCACATCAAGAAATCCCATTATGCTCCCGCTTGTCAATATCACACGTCTACGGAGTACTGTATGGATCCCTCCATGTCTGTTCACCCCCTGACAGCCGTGTCATGGCAGTTGGGATCCGCAAACTGTTAATAATCCTATCCCGTCGTGGGTCTCCGTCCGTGGGCCATGCTGGGTACGCCGCTGCGATATTTCTCATGTCGGTCGCACAAACCATCCGCCCCCCCCCCGCGACCTGGCACCGCGTCCTCGGCATCCTGTCTGTATGTGGTTCACGTCACGAACGGACGTTGAGGGGCCCTGCGACATTCAAAGAGGCAATCCACTTCTTCATCCGGTGAAGAAGAGGGGAGCAAAGTGAATCTTGGGGCAAACAAGATGAAAGAGCCAGTCGATGTATACATTGCATATTCTCCAGTAAGGTACCTAAACATTAACAGCTACTTTCAAGATACTCCGTACAAGTAGCACATACGGCTCGAGCCTCCAACAACTAACAGCTTCCCTTCACATTTGGTGGTCTTCAGATTAACTCCTATTCATCTGGCTCGAGTAAGCTCAGCATTGTTTGTCTCAACTCGGAATGTGTGCCAGAGTTACGCACGTCTGGCTGAATAATATTGTGTTATTGACAATCTCACCTGTTGAGAAATTCAGGGGCCTAACGGAAACATCCGTACGAAGCGCTCTGACAAGAGTAACCTTCCGTATACGATTTGGCAAGGGATATGTACAGAGCCCCTCGGGTTTTCCGAAGAGGAAGAAGCCGTGATAATTACGAGCAGGGACAGTTTGAAGACATGGGCGAAACGACCTGTGGCTCTTGAACTGGCTCAGGGATCCTAGCAGTCGATCCCAACTGGTGAACCGGGTTCTGATGTCTTCACAGCTGTCAACTGAAGTCAGACATCAAGCTATGCCTAGCAGAGCATAGCGCCCTCCCCTGCCCGAACACTCAACCCACACGGACGCCATTTTAGCCTTTTTCACTCCCGTTGACACGGATGACGGGCGGCCTGACGAGGAGACAGCAAGCATCAGTAACGAGAGCTTGGGGAAGGAAACGGGCTCTGCTGCCCTGCAATCTCCATCGGCTGTCAGTTCGAATTGGGATAAAGGGCCGCGTTCTCGCAAGCTCTTCCCAAACAAGACAAGAACTGTCCGATCACCCCTGCGAGATCCCCAATCCCCATGTCTGCTCTCGGTATCATGGACATGGGCATGGCAAAAGAAGTGGACAGCTCGACGCAGAAACTCGCAGCTCGTTCGTCAACTTGAGCTTGCTGTTGGTTTTGGATTTTCAAAATCGAATGATTGATGACGGAAGATTTCCTCTCATCTACGGCAGCTTGTTCAATTTTGCGAGGCGAAAGGCTATGCATCAACCCGCAGCATCGCCAATGCCCGGCGAAAATGTCGGGACTGACGCGGTTCGAGGTTGATCTTGCTCGGATTTCGGCTCGAAAGAGCAACAGTCCAAGGTCCTAACTATCAAGTACCTATGGATATATGACGCCAATTTTAACAACCAGCCCGGTCCTCACTGCGCGAACCCATGCACACGCAGGTACCAGCGGCTGTTGTCTATCATCCATGCTCACTATTCAACAGTTCGACACATCCAGATGGCGCTGGTCTCAATGGCAGCTGTTGGCAGACAATTTGAGCGAGTCTATCCGTATCTGAAGATGTTGACGCTCAATGCCGGATGTTGTATCCGGGCCATGTGGACAAGGATCTCAGGTTCCAGCTCTGCAATGTTTCCCAACGGTTTGTCTCAGCAGTATCTAATCATCATTGAATGGCATAAAGTGAGTGTGTGGCGTGCCTTACAACGCGGCGTGGACGCTCGCATCGGGTAGTGAGCAACTTGGCACGTATTGCAGCAACGATGCCTGACCTTGTACGATGTTTTGTAGGTTGGTTACCCGCTCCTCCAGAAACCAGGGTACAAACTGGAGGCTGGAGCTCAGTGTCGGAGACGTCAATCCCTCCGATGTCCCATCCAGGCATCCGACAGAGTGTGTAACATTTAATCAATGTTCATCGGGTCAGCGGTTGAGTATGGCCAGGTCTCTCCGAGCGCAATACCATGTGAGTAGTATCCCGGTTCGAGAGTCTCTACCATTACTTGGTACATCATTTCATTTTGCCCATTTTGGTCTGCCCTCCTCCTCCTCTCTGAGAGCAGACGTGGCAGGCTGGGCTATGATCATCATTGGTATGATTTGTTGACACAGCATTGTTGTGACTGTGGGTGGCTTGACAATACAAACATGGGCCAGGGAGGAGAATAAAAAGAAAGAATAAAAAAAAATGCGCCGGATATGAAAACAAGGAACGGGCATAGTTGCATTTTATTCTGCCCCGCTATCAACGTCAATTGAATAAGCCCCTCCCCCCATCAACAAGCGTTGCAATCTCGGGGGCCTTTGATCAGAAAGTGGCTGTATTCGTACGGATACAGAGTCGAGTTGCAGACGATCGCCGATTCCTCCGCTTCCACCATCTAGGATACATAGGTGACAAAAAGCAGCATAGGGACACCGGTATCGCACACGCTAGGTATATCGTCGTCGGGGGACAGATACAGTCTATCCGTATAGCTGGTTGGAACAAGACAGAGCAGCGCGGCACAGCGGGTAGTACGGACGTAGGTCAGCTAACCGAAGCGATACTAGCTAAGCAGTCTTATTCCCTTATTTCCCATGGAGGGATGGATTGGCGAATTATACTGTGGCATGGAGGACATAGCTCCAGCTGGGCTACGTATGAGTTTGGAGAGAAAGCCACCTCGAACCCCTGCCCCTGTCTTAGTGCTCTTTTTATGAATATCCGTACACGGTGCGGTGCTAGACGTTGGGAAGTGCGGATACTGAAAGGTACTGCTCTTTCGCTTTGTGTTATTCAGAGAGTCTGTCACTCTGTGTATATACTAAAGTATTCGTACTTTGGTCTGAAGGAACGGTGATACCCTGAAAGCGTGGCCCTGGCGCGAGAGAAGATGATCATGACCCAGGTAAACCGCACGGCATCCGCAAGGATGAATGATCATGGCTATGGAGTCTGGCACGTCTGGGCGTGGTCTGTCGGTCGAAGCTGCCCCTGTGCCTGTGTATCCGTACCCGTACTCCGTAGCGGAGACCGGAGAGATACCTCGTCAAGGGTATCCATCTGTCTATCCTCTCAGTCTCGACTATCAAATCTCATCTGTGTATCCCGTCCGTAAGGATAGTGATGCTCTGTACATAGCGCGCGGGCATGCTTTACGCACCCACATTTTGCTCAGCTACCGGGGGTCGGTATCAACAGGCGAAGGTCGACGTTGGAGAAGTCGACAGCCGTGTTCATAATCCTTGTGGTATCCGTACTGCGTACTGCGTACACAGTAGTCGAAGTCGTGGTGGTATCCGTACTTCCCAGTCACACCTGGTGCTGCAAGAAGATGGAGGGGGGTCTGGGCCCCGGGACCCTGTCCTGCTCAGCTGGGCCCTGTCACCTCAGTTCTCCTCACCAATCTTTTGCCCTATCCGCATCCGTTTTTGCGAAGCCCGAGTCGCTGGCTTGACTGGGGGGAGTCTACTCCGTAGAGAGAGGGAGGGGGCGCTATGCTGCACACTCACTGATGAGAAGATGCGCGCTGCGGTGCCGTGCCGTCACAGAGCAGAGAGCAAAGCCAAGCAAAGCAAATGGAAGCAGAGGAGAAGAAGAAGAAGATGAAGAAGCTCAGCGCAGAGAGCTGAACACCCCCCCCTCTCCACCTACGCCTCACTCCCGTCCCCCCGCCGCCGTCGCCGCCGCCGCATCCTCTCTCTCAAATCACATTTGCGAAACCACTTGCCAGACGAGCTGTCATAAAAAGATGCTCGCCTCCTCCGCCCATTCGCAACTTATGGCACTCCTCCAGATCTCCTTCTTCTTTTTTCTTCCTCCTCCTCCTCCTCTCAGCCATCACTACACTATTAGGTGTTTGTTCTCGCTGTCATTCTGGACCCAAACTTGAACCAACGGCATCCCGCAATCAAAACCAACCCGTGGTTTTCGCCACTAGCATCTCGGCTCGTCCCAACTTATCTACTTTACCTTACCTTTTCACCTTGCCTGCTTGCTTTAGTCTACCTTACCTACCTTGCCTACACAACCTAGCTACCTGCGGCTACGGAGTACGGTACAGATAATACCTAGGTTGTATCTCCTCGCATACCCTCGACATATTTCTTCGAGATTTCAGCCAACCTTCGTTCAACGTCCGAGTACATCCACTACGTCAGGCCATCTGTGTCTGCATGTACCTCAAACTCAGACTACCTTAACCTCGAGTGAACTGCACCGTTTACAACCCCCGCCGACGCCAAAAAATCTCTCCTTGAACACCACCACCACAAAACGGTCTCGTTCTGACCGGCTTGCGCCCTCTCCGCACTATCCATCAGCTTGGATATTCGACTACACCTCAACCTTCAGCCCCCCCGTTTCTCCTTCTGCAGTTAGCCGCACCGAGCTGCCAACTGTCACTTGAACACCTCCAGTCCGCCTTTTCTCACTGCGCATACCTGCCTGTGTGCGACGCGACGCAATCCCATTCATACTCCCGTCTGCACTTCTGATACCCTGTGCCAGTCACATCAGTCGGGCCCGCCGTTTTCACACTGCCACAGCCACTCTGTCGGTTCAGTCTGTGAGAGTGAGACTGACAGCCTTCGCTTGCGAGGTGAATGCGCAATCTGTATCCCACGCCCAGCAAACCAGCACGTACTACAATCAACACCAATTTGAGAGGAACAATCACTCAGCTCAGACCCGATTGATTCCCCAGACGTATTACGGCTATCGCTTAAGATAATCGAGCTTCTGTTTGGCGCGGCCACTGATTCGAAGCCTTGCGGCATTGAGGATCCACCAAGCTCTCTGCGGCATTCAAGCATTCTCTTAAAGCATACCTTACTCGCCTTACTTCCCAGCCGATTGAGACTCCGGACGACGTGCGAAGAGACGGACGCAATTGCGATTCAATCGGACATATATCCCAGACCTTGTTTCAGCCACGAGCCAACTGTTCTTTGCCATGGAGCAAACGTTCATGACCATTCATTCCACGGACCCCAGCGCTGCCATATTATTCGTGTCCGACTCAGTCTACGACATACTGGGTTATACCCCCCAGGAAGTGCAGGGAAAATCATGTTTTGACTTCTTTCACCCCGACGAGGTACCCTTCGCTCGCTCTATCCACAGTCGCGGTGTCTTGCTGGACAAGGCAGCTGTGCTTCACTATGCTCGCATCATGGCCCGCGATGGTCAGTGGGTGAGCTGTGAATGCTGCTTCACTGTCGTCCACGATGTCTTGGTTGCCTGTACCAGTATTTATCGACGAGATGAAAAGAGTCACAGTAAGCGAACACTTCAGCCTCACGTTCAATTTATTCTCATGCTAAGGTCGTGACAGGACGAGCCGTCGAAGCACCTCAGATCCGTCGATTATTCTCGAGCTCTCCTCGGGATCCTCGTTACCACATGCTGGAGCATCTCTCACCCAAATTCAGAATGCCTCCTGTGGAACGCGAGCCCCGCGCAGCTCTCATTCTCAATAGGTTCACCCGCACTCTGACCGTCATGTTCGCCACCAATGCAGTCTCCTCGATCCTTGGCGTCAGACCCGACCAGATCAAAGCCAAGAGCTTTTATGAGTGCATACAGGAGAACTGCCTGCCGGATGCCATCCGCTGTTTGGAAAGTGCAAAGGCCAATGATTCAATTGCCTATCTGAGGTTCTGGTACAGAGATCCACGTCGGCCTGAGGATTTTGACGATGAGGAGGAAGACGAAGAGCACAACAGCGGCAATTCCAGTGACTCCGATGGCGGAGGCGTCCAACTCGACGGCCGCATGGATATTGACGATGATGACGGTCCTGTGATCAAACAAGAAGAACAAGGCCGTCCAGATATGTCGAATCACAGCTCTGCGAACCAAACAGCGACTACAAACGCCTCTGGCTCGAGCAACGAGACGCAGAACACTGCAGCTACCTCCGCCCCTTCGGCCGACGGATCAGCCGCCCAGGCATCGACGCCCGCGGAGCCCATGCGAAACCGTCGGCGCGAACCGCCCCAGGCTTTTGAGCTCGAAGCTGTCGTGTCATGCACGTCCGACGGTCTTGTCGTCGTAATTCGCAGAGCGCGCCCACCGATTCCGGCACCTCACCCGCCGTTGGTCGTCCCAACCTACACCAATGGTCTCTTTGCGGCGCCTTGGGGTCATCATCCCATCCGGCCTCAAGTTCCCCAGGAATCGCTCTACAATTTCAGACCTCCTCTTATGCCTCAGTACATGCCTTTGCAAGACAACGTCATGGCTGCTGGGGGCCCACCTGTGGACCATCTAATGAGCTCCATCAGAGATGTTGCCGTCTTCGCATGGGCATTGGTAGGAATCAACGGCAACCTCGCGACATACACGCGAGGCATGCCGCGTGGCGAGTCTATACCAGATAGTGGCCTACCTATATGGGATCCCAATGCAGGAAGTACTTCTTTACATGGACCGGAAAACCAGGCAGTTCGTCGATGGACGCAGTACGACAAGGAAAAGACCTTTGGTCCGCCCTCGGCGGCCTACCGACAGTCGTACAACCAAGGCATGCCGTCCGGGTATAGCCATGTGCCTCAGATGGGCAGTTACATCTACTCTCAGCCGGCGCCGCCCACGTGGCCCGGCCTACAGCCTGCCTACACATCGGCTTACGACCCTTACTCGAGGAACAACCACCATCGAGAACAGCAGCATCAGCATCACCAACCGCAGCCTCATTACGACTACCAGCCTAGTCGTCACCAGCCTCAACCACAGTCACAAGAATTTGGTCAACGAGGAGCTCTGCAAAATCAGCCATGGGGCGAAATACCCCCACCGTACAACGGCCAAGGCCAAGCGAATGGTCATTCCCATGGCCATGCGGGCGGGCATTCGAACGGACAATCCAATGGTCAGTCCAACGGGCAGCCTAATGGGCAGGCTAACGGTCAGTCCAATGGACAATCCAATGGACATGCAGACGGAAACTCCGGCAATAGTTCAAACGGATCGGCAGGGCCAAATGATGGATCACACGGTCACCGTTACCCATGGCAGTAGTTGAAACACTCGAACATGGGAGACAGCAGCATATGGATGACCAACCAATAATTACAGGAGCGCAATGGCGGACTCCAGACGAACAGAATTTGATCAATTTCAGGGAAGAAAGTAGACAGAGGCTTAATGAAACCTCTCGAAGGAAGTCAGTAGTGGTCGGTGATGACAAAGGGGGGGGGGGGAGGATGGGGTGATTTCCCCTCTGTCAAAGGGGACATGGAAAGGGTTTGTGTGTACCAGGCATCGGCGTTCCGCGTTTTACTAGAAACGGACGGTAAAAATGAAAAGATACCCCGCGAGGCGAAATGGAGGCCATCGAGCTCGCAAAGGAGGAGAATATTCGTATATAGAATGTTTGGCAGCAGGGTTGCTCGCTGGTATGGGTTTTTTATTCTCTTTTTTTTTTTTTGGCGTATTTATCCAAACCAGGTAATTCAGTGCAAAACTATCCAATATTCTTCCAGACCACGTGATGAATAAATTTGCATGTTAAGCAGCCAGGTCAGATGTCGCGTTAGGTTGTTCCTGTATGTGAAAATGAGCATTTACGACTCTGTGAGCATCAGCGGACGAGACGGGAATCCACATTGGAGTCCGGGCTTCCATGAGGCCTGGGCAGGTTATCCGTACAGCGCGGAGTGGGGCCAGCACGTTGAGCGGTACGGACCCTTAGGTTCGGCCAGACTGGCCAGTTAGCGATGGCGTCCAGTGGCATCATGTGGATCGGGGATGCGGATCTCTTTTTTTCCGATTCAAGGGAGCTTGGACCATCTATGAGTGCTTCGCTGGAGGAAACCGTGGAGTCTATGCCAGGAGTCGCAAGCTGCTACGTACGTCAATTAGACCAGAAAGCCACCATCCCATCTCGGAAACTTGAAAGTGCAAAGCAACTTGCAATTCAACTACATTACGATTCCCACGAACACTTTTCACGTACTCCTTTTTTGACCATTACGAAGGGCGAAGACACGGCAATAGTGTTGTTTGCCAAATCACACGAGTTCCAGCCATGGCATCTACAAGCAAGCGAGACGACTATGCCAACCCTCCCTTGCCTGACGACGACTTAATTGACCCTGATGATGGTAAGCTTTTGTAGGAAGAGAACATGACATTCTATCCAAGCGATGGAAAGCTGACTCTCCATCTGTGATGAAGCTGATCTAGATGATTTCGACGACCCTCTTGGCAACACATCCTCGCGCCAGCCATTGACGGGCAATATTGGCTCGAGCTCCTCCTCCTCGCGACCACTGAATGAGAACGCCTGGACGTCACGCATACCGGGCGAAGACCGCGCTGCGCCGCAAAACACAATCGACGAGTCGGTATGGGACACGCTCCGCCGCGACCTCCTCGCCGTCTGGGCCAAGATGAGGGAGGTGCTGTACCCCAAGTACCTGCTGGGCGGCACCATGTTCGACGCCGACGGCCTGCGCGGCGCGTACGCCAACATCCGCGGCGCCGGCATCTCGGGCGCCCGCGAGGAGCTCACGGGCCTGGCGAGCCGCTTCATGGACTCGGAGGCGCTGCTGTCGCAGAATAACATGACGCCCGGGCTACGGGACTGGGATCTCTGGGGCCCGCTCATCTTCTGCCTGCTCCTCAGTCTCTTGCTCAGCTTCAATGCCAGGGCGGATCAGAAGGATGTCGTGTTTAGCGGTGTCTTTGCCATGATTTGGATCGGAGAGGCTGTGGTGACGTTGCAGATTAAGCTGTTGGGAGGAAGCATGTGAGTTGAACCGTCCCCACTCGTCGCTCTTTGTGTTGCGTGTGTCAGCGAATACTAATAGACCACTGTAGCTCTTTCGCGCAAAGTGTCTGCATCATAGGATACACGCTCTTCCCCTTGGTGATTGCGGCACTCCTCTCTGCCTTTGGCATCCCGACCGTGGTCCGAGTCCCCGTGTACCTTGTCCTCGTCGCGTGGTCTCTGGCGGCAGGCGTCAGCATCCTGGGGGGCAGTGGTGTGGTCAAGAACCGTGTTGGAATCGCCGTGTATCCGCTGTTCGTCTTCTACCTCGGCCTGGGCTGCCTCTGCTTCATCAGCTGAGCTGCGACGGACGAAGTTGCAAGTCGGAGCTAGGGGTGCTGAAGTGTTCGGGACAGTTGAGAGAGATGTACTGTATCTGTGGCCTTGGCGGGGGTCTAAGGCGCACACTGTATTCTATATATCCATGTTGTGCTACTCATCCTCGGGGTGGTGGCGGGCCAATGAATGAGAACGGGCATTTGATTTTCTGCTATTAGTATCGGCTGTCCGAGGACAAGAAATGTCCTCCTGTCTCGCGACTACTCCGCGTGCGCCGCCGTACCCGAATTGTCTTTGGCTAAAATGTTCTAGGAGGGGAAGCAGTTCCCTGCGGAACATGTCGTGCAATGGAAATGGTTACAAGTCCAAACCATTTCACTCACTAGGTGCTTGTTAGACAAACCCAGGTCATGAACCAAAGGGACAGGAAGACCGAATGCTAGCTGCAAGCGGCGTCGGTAGTTGCCGCTAGAATGTCACCTGTGTTGCCCTTTTTGGACAGCCACACCACCGAACCGCAGGGCCATTCATCTGACACCTCAGACGAGCGGCCCTGAAGGACGTCGGAGGCGGGGAACCCCCCACCATTGGTACGGTACAGTGTAAGGTAGGGAGGTACCTTTCTCAGAGAACCAGACCTGAATTTTGGAAGGCTAAAGTACCCCTCACTTTCCAGTCCACGTACAGTTGTAGTGAGGTCCTCGTTGAATTGAACAGCCTGTTATTGGAATATTACGGCAGGGTGGCGGTATGAGAATGTGTAACAGTAAGCGAACAAAGCAAAAATACTGGCAACCAAGGTAGAATAAAGATTAAGAGGTACGGATGGGAAGTTCTAGCCCATCTCAAAGACAAAGGGCGCTAATGCATGCCGCCATGGGCCCAACGGAATTCAACCTGCCCGTGGACGAGCTGAAGGTGGGCATTTTCTCTCTCGTCTGGCCAGCGTCGTGCCGTCGTCTTATCCGAGCCCGGAGCGCACCGAATGATTGGATCGATTAACCTAGGCGGGAGTCGGCCCCGTCCAATTATTTCCCATCTCAGTGAGCAACGTCAAATCTCTCCGCGAAAGACGAGAACCATACACTTGCAGGTTACTGGCCTGAGCCTGTTGTCACCGCATCCCGCTCCCGCCTGTATCGCGCCTACCCTCCATACCTTGCCTTTTAGTGAGTGTGTACTAGGTGTACTATACCTACTGTACTGCACTGCAGCAACATTGTAGCACCGCCACTACCTGGACTACCTTGCTACCTTCGACATTTCTCAACCACAACCTTAACCCCCAAACGCCAGTCGCGCGACACCACCGCCCCAGAACCCAGAAACGCGGACCTCGGTGTTCTTACCCTGTCGACGACCCGGTTACGATTGCTCTCGTCGTGTAGGCGATTTTTGGTCTTTTGCAACAGCGACTCCGACTTTTTTCTTTCTTGCCTTTTTGGGGCTTCCCGTCTGCGCGGCAATACCCATTTGGCAGCAAATTCCACGCTACTGAACTACACCGATTTTGCTCCATTGCTGGCAAAAGTCGGGCACAGAGAACCTCCGCACCCACCACCCACCACCCGACGACGAACGAACGTACACGACGACGCAAAAACCGCCCCCAAAAGGAACGCCACCTACAAATCACCATGGCCGACGATCCCCAGCCGGGCAGTCCCAAGTCGGACCCGATCGACGCAAAGGAGGACGCCGAGACCGCCGCTGCCCGCAAAGAATTGAAGCATACGGCCATCTCAGAGAAAGCAGAAGGAGCCACCGCCGACACGACGCCTTCGGGATCGCAGAACGAGGACCACAAGGACCACGTCTCGTCGCCCAAGAAGAAGCGGGCGCATGACCAACTGGACGAGGACAAGGATGCCGACGAGGCTGACGTCAAGAGCGTCGCCTCGAGCGACTCGGCCAAGGACAGGGCCTCGCGGCTGGAGCCGGAGAAGAAGAGACATAGGGATGAAGTTGCCGGCTCTGGTGACGCTGCGGCCGATTCTCCTGTAGGCTTTTTGACCTTGACGTATCTGGTGTTTGCCGTGCATACATACTGACGCTGTTGCGCTTCCCATAGGCGCCACCGGCTACCGATACAAAGACGAAAGAGAGTGTCGTAACAGAAGCAGCTACATCACAGGATTCTACAAAGGACGAGAAGAAGGGAACATCGAGTTCTGCATTTGCCAACTCTGGCTTCGCTAAATTGGCGGCATCGAGTGCGTCCCCTTTTGGTTCGCTGGGAAGTGCGACCAAGGGAAGTGTCTTTGGCAGCGGAGCCAAGGCTGGCGCGTCACCTTTTGGCGGTCTATCTCCATCGAAGCCTGATGCCGCCGCCCCGGCTCCTACCCCCACCCTCAGCTTTGGTGGTGCCGGCTCGGCCTCGTCGCCTTTCGCCAGCATTAAGCCCGCCGGCGCAAATGGCGGTTTCGGCTCAGTGTTTGGCAGCGCCTTTGGCGGTGGTCTAGGCGGCAAACCGCTTTCGAGCTTCGCCAAGACGGGCGAGTCTTCTTTCCAGACTGAGAAGGCCGCCAAGCCGTTCGGAGCTCCCGACAGCGACGCGGAAGACGACAACGATGACGAGACTGAAGGCGATGCCGATGGAGCCTCAGAGTCTGGCGACAAGGACGAAAAGGAAGAGTCTGACAAGGAAGAGACCAAGGCTGGGGACGATAAGAAACGTACCAAGCTGCAGAAGAGTAAGAAGCTGTTGTTATTTCGGCGACACGAAGTTGTACTAAGCTGTTATAGTTACTGTCGACGACGGTGAGGCTGGAGAGGCTACTATAGTCCAGGTTAGAGCCAAGATATTCTACCTGGAAAAGGAGGTTGGCTGGAAGGAGCGCGGATCTGGTATGCTCAAGATCAATGTTCCCGAGGCATGCGTCCAGTTCGACGAAGGCGGTCTGCCGATACCTGGCTCCTTTGATGCATCGGCCCTGGAAGACTTGGAAGATCCCGAGGCTGGCGAGAGCAGAGGCAGCAAGGTGCCTCGTCTCATTATGAGGCAGGATCAGACCCACAGGATACTACTGAACACAGTCATCCTGCCGGCGATGCAGTTCCAGGAAAAGGCGACGTTGAAGAGCGTTGGTGTCATGTTCACGGCCTTTGAAGGCGCGGAGGCTAAACCAGTCAGCGTTCATGTGAGAGTACGTGTTTACTCCCCTATACCCAAAATCCAAACTACGAGACGATTTGGCTCACTAACATATCACGTATAGCTGAGCGCCGCTAGTGCAAAGTCATTCCTGAACGAGGTTGGAATGGTGCAGAGAGAGCTCTTGAGCAACTGAGTGTACCCATACCGACGTTTCTCACGTGGGTTTGAGATAGCCGGTGGCGTTAATGGTCGCCTAAATATGCCTGTTCAACAAAGAAGGGCGAGTACGCATCACTATAAAGGGAGAGCCGGCGTGAGCATCTCCGGAGATCGTCTGGAGGCCTTTGGCTACCTTAGAGAGAGTGGGCAAGAAGAAGGACAGGCACACAATTGGTGGGACGGCAGACACTTGTTTAGGAGTACAGTTTGAACTAGGCTGATATCTCAGGCCCTTATCCTGTCATGATACCAGGAAAACAGGTATCCTTCGATACATTTAGATATCACTCGGTACATTGTAACATGGACACAATTCGACTGAAGATCCAATGTTCGTTCAAGGTGTAGGGAATCGTCTATTTGGAGGAGACTTTGTACGGCTGTAATTCGAATCTTGGGAAGGTGATTTTGGAGGTGGCGCACGTGACTTGGTGTGGATTACGTGACGCAGACGACTTCTTTGATCTGGGAAGTTGTGACGTCGCGTGTCGAAGCGCCAGGCACGACTGATTCGCTTCGCCGTCTGCATGTCCAGGAAGTGCTGGTGATCAGGTTGCCGAGTCGAGTTCTTTCTGTTGATGACTTTTAAGCCCCTACTTTACCCTCGCATTCGAGAGATGGCGGCCTGCTAAGGGCCATTGATTCAAGCGACCATGTCAAGCGGTGCCCCAGGCGAGCTCCCGGCTACAGTACGAAAGCCTCGGGGTAAGAGGAAGCGACAAGAGAATGAGAATGATATCTCTACACAGGGGGGCCAGAACAGTGCCGGTTCTGTAGCGGACGAACCATCAAATACCGACGATGCAGTGTCCACTGACACCCAGAAAACGACCAAGTCCAGGAAACGGGCTGCGCCGAAAAAGGCCGGGTCGAAACAGAATAGCACGGAAAGCGTAGCCCCCGCCGAGGAGTGCAAGATTGAGTGGCCTCAACGCTTCAAGGACTTGGAAAAGACGCATCGCGCACTCAATCTTGTGTTTACGTTTTGCTGTACTCGGAAACACCTCGCCACCACGTTTGAGACGATCAAGTCCTCGGTGGAATCGCATACAAAGTCGTCCCTGACGGTCGAGGATATAGCTGCCATCGCCGCTATACGCCCCGAGGGCGTCAACTTTGCCTATGTCGATGAGATTATGCTGCAGACCGAGGTTAGGGGCGCCGAGCGCGATGTGGTTTTCAAGAAAGGACTGGATTTCCTCTCCCAGGCTCCTGCGCCTGATGCCTCTGTCGGAGGCATTTCGGGTCTCGAGAAGCTGGACCATCACCCCGACGAGGCTGTCGAGGGAGGAAAGGAGGTGCTATATTTTGAGTTTGTGGACGGCGACTTGAAACGACAGGTCAAGGACAGGAAGACGGGGGAGATTATCAAGCCCAACAGGAAGCTGAGGGAGGAGAGTCTCAAGATGCCCGTCTACAGTCAGAAGCAGATGACGAATTTGATCGAGAGGCGGAATCAAAGGTTCAACGACGCCATTGTCCATTTTCTCAACCAATGCGTCGCCGATGGGCTTGATCCCGAGCTGAGTCTGGCAACGGCAACCGAGGCTCATATTCCTGTGCCGACAATCACAGAGGAGGCGGAGCCAAAGGACCTCGGTGCGTTACCCGAATCCATTCCAACGGAGCGGAAAAGCGTCCCAGAAATTGTTCAGGAGCTGAAAGAATGCTCTTGGTACACTGGACAGATTGTGCCCGACGGACACCGCGTCTTTGAGCCGCAGGAACCCGTCTACGGCGATCTCAACTTCCTCCTCAGCCAGGACCTCGTGAATGCGCTGTACAACGCAAAGGGCATTACGCAATTCTTTGCGCACCAGACCGAGGCTATTAATGGTCTGCTCGAAGGGCAGCACGTCGTCGTGGCCACGTCCACGAGCTCCGGCAAGTCGCTTATTTACCAGCTGCCGGTGATCCACGCCTTGGAAGAGAATCCGCACACACGCGCCATGTACATTTTCCCGACGAAAGCGTTGGCGCAAGATCAGAAACGGAGTTTGAGGGAGCTCATGAGCTATATGCCTGGCATGGAGGAAGTGCTGGTGGAGACGTTTGATGGAGATACCCCGATGAAAGAACGCAACGTGATCCGGGAAGAGGCGAGGATTATCTTCACCAACCCAGACATGTTGCACATCACCATATTACCGCAGGAGGAGAGATGGAGGACGTTCCTGAAGAATCTCAAGTACGTCGTCGTCGATGAGCTGCACTACTACAATGGGCAGATGGGTTCCCACGTGGCCTTTATCATGAGGAGACTGCGAAGGATATGCGCTGCTGTTGGAAATCGCCACATCAAGTTTATCTCATGTTCTGCGACGGTGGCCAACCCAAGGCAGCACTTTAAGACAATCTTTGGTATAGACAATGTGCGGCTCGTCGACTTTGACGGCTCCCCATCCGGTATGTTTCCTGTCTCGTTCCCTCTTCACTGCTCAGAGACTGACTGATTTGCAACAGGTCGCAAAGAGTTTCTTTGCTGGAACACGCCGTACAAGGACCCCGGAGACCCGGCAAGCGGGCGAGGCGACGCTCTGTTTGAGTGTGCTCGCCTCTTTTGCCAGCTTATGCTCCGGGGCGTGCGCATCATCGCTTTTACCAGAGTCAGAGAGCAGTGCGAGAAGCTGGTCACCGCGGTGCAGCAGGAACTGGAATCTCTCGGGCGCCCCGAGTGCGTCAACAGAGTCATGGGCTACAGAGGCGGCTACACGGCGCAAGACCGACGGCGGATCGAGTCGGAAATGTTTGAGGGCAAGCTCCTCGGCATCGTCGCGACCACTGCCTTGGAGCTCGGCATCGATATTGGCACGCTGGACTGCGTGCTGACCTGGGGGTTTCCCTATACCATTGCCAACTTGCGCCAACAGAGTGGCCGTGCCGGACGAAGGAACAAGGACTCTCTATCGGTGTTGGTGGGCGACTGCTTTCCCACTGATCAACATTATATGCAGAACCCGGACGAGATCTTTTCCAAGCCGAATTGTGAGCTGCAAGTCGATCTGGAGAACATGCTAGTGCGGGAAGGACACATCCAGTGTGCCGCGTATGAGATGCCTATTCGGCCGGTGGAAGATGCTCAGTACTTTGGCAAGGATTTGCCCATCATCTGTGAGGAGAGGCTGGTCAAAGATCCTTTGGGCTTTTATCACTGCCACGATCGGTTTCGTCCAATCCCTTCGAGGTTCGTCGCCATCCGTGATACCGAAGATGATCACTTTGCCATCATCGATATCACGCACGGAAAGAACGAAGTCCTGGAGGAGCTCGAGGCATCGAGAGCAACGTTTACGATATACGACGGCGCTATTTTCCTCCACCAGGGGAACAAGTATCTGGTAAGGGACTTCCAGCCCGAAAAGATGATGGCGAGGGTGGAGCGTGTCAAGGTCGAGTGGACCACGACGCAAAGAGACTTCACCGACATTGATCCGATCGAGACGGAAGCCATTCGCAAGATCTCCGGATCCATGTCGAGAGCCTTTTACGGCACGATCAAGATCCAGCAGAACGTGTACGGGTTCTTCAAGGTGGATAAGAAGAAGCGCGTGCTCGACGCCGTGCACGTCGACAACCCGCCCGTCATCCGATACGGCAAGGGCATGTGGCTCGACATACCGAAAAAAGCGCTGCAGATCCTCGTCGACCGGCGCCTAAACATCGCCGCGTCGATTCACGCGGCCGAGCACGCCATCCTCAGCCTAATGCCCAACTTTGTCATCAGCCTACCGGGCGACGTCCGCACCGAGTGCAAAATCGCCCTGAAAGAGTTTGCCAAGAAGGATTCTCAGAGGAAGAGGCCTGGCCGGCTGACGTTTTACGACGCCAAAGGCGGTGCTAGCGGGTCGGGCATCAGCACAAAGGCGTTTGAGCACGTCGACCACCTGCTGCAGCAGGCCGTCAAGAGGGTTGAGGACTGCTACTGCGAGCACGGGTGCCGGGAGTGCGTCGCGTCGGACCAGTGTAAGCAGGCGAACGAGGTGATGAGCAAGGCGGGGAGTCAGGTTATTCTCAAGACGTTGCTGAATCGGGAGATTGATATCGATGCGCTGCCGATGGGGCCCGAGGAGTATTGCCCCGCGGGGATCGAGACTGTTGTTGTGGCGCAGACTGTGCCGGCCAAGGATGGGGGCAAGTTGACGGTGGTTGAGATTAAGGAGGAGGAGTTTGATGAGAGGGATACGGTTTTGTTGGAGGAGGCTGAAGTGTGGACTGGGCAGGAGGAGGAGGAGTCGTGATGGCGTGTAAATGTGATATCGATGTCGGTCATCCTGTATTCTCGCCCTACCTTTGAATAACCTGAATAAAGCTACAGCTATCTTCAACTGTATATACTTTCACGTCTGGCTAACTACGCTCGCTCACTCAAAAACAGACCATCCATCAACTTGTCCTGTCGTTTCGATTTCAGGGGTTAAGTTGCTGAATGGTTCAAGATGACGACTCAGGGGTAGTTCACTCATCACTGACAGCCAGAGAATGGATGACGGTATCTTTTCTTGATTCTCGTTCTCAACATTGTACTCTTCTGGTTGTTTTTCTCCCTTTGTTACCTCGTGTCGAGGTACTTGGCTAGGTGAACAGTACATATGGCAGAGGGGGCGTAGCTGATGCCACGCGATTCTCAACAGATGGAATGATTGTTGATATTCTTATAGTTCTCGAAGTAATATCCTACATGCTATCGCCCATTAGATGCTGGAATTGATCTCAGCCCCGTTCCATGGGTCCTTTTTCGCGGAAGGTTCAACGTCAGGAGAGAAACCCCGCCATGATAATTCGAGAGACAGCGAACTTCTGAAGCCAGACAGGTACCTTGAATAGGCAGGATCGAGCGAGCATATGTCCGAATCCCTTTCTCCCTGCCTGGAAAATTCTGCTCCCAGCCAGTCGAGTTCCATCTGGAATCGTCGCCAGGTGCGTTGGTATCTCGTCCTTGGTATCCCAGCTGTTGTCCTCGCCTTGGTCATCTAGGTTTTCTAATCAATGCCATCCATCATCCAGAATGATCCCGTGTATCTACCTCATCAGACATCCAATCCCGAAAGTAAAAGGTGGAATATGAACGGACCAATCGAGGATTCAAATGATGGGAACCCTGATGTAAACCAGAGACTTCATGATCTAGTCAAGGCATCAAAACTCTCTAACCCTCAGCCATCAAGCCCCACCATGTTGTTAGAAGACGTTAAGCTGATCATAGGCTGAAGGGAAGGCAGTCAGGCAGGCAAGATCAGGTGATGGAGGGGCCCATTTGTGAGGGCATACTCAATTGTTTTATGTGAATACACATTCACCCACCTTACCCCATCGCTCCTTCCCTTGACTGCCTACGGATCGCCTCTTGACTGCCTACAACCGCCCACGAACCGCCCTCTTTCGATTCCTCCTTTCTCGTCCTTATAAATAGCCCCCTTCTCATCCCTCTTCTCCCTCTTCTCATCTTCAACCCATAGCTACCACTCAAGCTTCCACCCAAAGGTTCAAGATACCTCTTCCATCATATCTTCCCTTTGCATTTTATTATACTGCAAGCGTCAAGAAGTCGATTGCACACATCAGATCCGAAGTTTTTTTTTGATCACCTTATCGAGGATATTGTTTTTCAGCTTCCATTCGTGGAACCTTTATCCTTTCCACTTCGCTTCCTTCCACCAAACCACTCGTCTAAGAAGACGCTTCATTTGAGCCGAATCAAGCCTTCTTTCGGTGTTCCACGCCCTCATCCCACACCAATACTATCATCTATCGACGGTCGAATCAGACCGCATTTAGTATGTCAATCCCTTTATGCCTCATCGAATGTTCTCACTAACTTTCGTGATAGAGATGGATCAGAACGTTGGTCGAAGACTTGCACCTCAGGATCAAGTTCTGGCGTCACACATGGCCCGGCTCGACCTGAAGAAAGACCAGGCTCGAAGTGCTCATGCCGCTCCTGCCATCGCCACAGCCGCTGTGCGTGGCAGCAGTGGGGGCAGCATGAGCAGCAGGAGCAGTAAGGGCGGTCTTGGTCGTGGCGGAAGCACAGTCAGAAGAGCGTCAGCTGCAAACTCTCACGACAACACTCTCGAAGCTGGCCCTGTTGACCAGCTGGTCTGTATTGACGCGGAACCTTCCAACACTAGTACAATGGCAAGAACAAGCCATGGCAGAGGCTTTGAAGCCATGCGTATGCTTGCTGAACAACGGGGCCAAGTCACGCATGCACCTCACGAACAAGTAATCTCGCGATTTGCAAAGGAGTTCTACAACCTACCATCCAATTATGCCGGCGACCCGTTGAACCTTCGCAACCAAAGCACACCAGTCAAAGACAACGAGAATACTGCGCTATTCATCACTGGGCTTCCGGCCAATTGCGATCATACTCTGCTGCTTAAAGCTGTTGCTGGCTGTGCTCCAGTAGGCAAAGTATACGCCACGGTCATCAACGCTCCAAAGCCGATTGAAGGCCGGCTTCTTACCGCAGCCAAGTTGGTATTTTTCAGCCGCGCTGGCGCCGAGAATTGCTTCAGGGCCATCAAGCAGAGAAGGCTCATTGTCGGAGGACTCCGTCCCAGAGTTGTCTGGAACCGGATCAAGTCGGCCGCACAGCCCAACAACAGCAGGTCCCGAGTCATCCTAATTCGAGGCCCATCTGAGCTGGTCAGGCGCGATGTGCTGGATCGCTGGTTCTCTAAGAAATTCAGTTACCAGACTGAGGATGTTTTAGAACGCCGAGTACCACAAGCCGGAGTCACAGTGCTTGAATGGCGGTTTGGAAGCTTCCGAGCCCAAGCGGAGGCCGCCACGATGTTCATGTGTGAAAACGAGCTCGACGGTACGAAGCTGGAATGGCGTTGGGGAGTGGACCCATGCGCCTGATCTCAAGCTCATGAAAGTACGGATAGAAGGGGTCGTAGAAGGACGGATTGAACGGCACGGGAGGTGCGGGAAGCCAGAAGGTTAATGTTGGTGAGGCTGGCTGGATGGAAGTGGATAATGTTTTGGGTGTTTTGGGCGTTTTGGGATTTCGTTTTTAGAAGAAAATACAACCAAAGACCCTTTTACGGTCAACCAAAAGAGGATGTGCACAAGGATATGCATTGGAAGCACAGAGGTGAATGCAGGCGGATCAAAGAAGCTTTTGCCAAGGGGCAAGCTGGGATGGAACGGTTCGCTCATCGCTCGTTGGGGTGTGGGAACCTACGCGTGGGAGAGAAGTGGAGGTGGAGATGCGATGTGCGACGGTGTCTCAGGCTGTGTGGACGCTCGTGGCATTGTTGCTTGGCTTTGTCGATGAGAGGACCCAGTTGTTCGTCTTGGGGAGATCCTAGTGTGAGTCTTTGCTCTTGGCTAGGTCTTGGCTCATATTGGCTTCATCTTGGTTTGACCTGGTTCGACTTTTGGTTTTTGCTTACTGTAGTAGGCTCAGATCGTAGGTTCTCGGAACGATGGGTGTTATAGGCCCAGGTCTCTTGGAGTTGAGCCTCCCCCGTTAGGTTCCTCGTAGCCCGTTCCCCCGTCTCCCTCAGCCCCCTCCTTGGTGTTGTGCGCGCGTTCCGTCAAAAGTCTGTGCTTGGCTGCCTCCCTCAGAAAGTTCAGGTGCCTTTACTCTGGAATTATTACTCCGTCCGAAAAAAAAAGTCAATTGTATGGACGGTGGTCCCTTGTTACTTCAGGGCGGGTTGCAGTTAGACGCATTGGACGCCCGTCTGCTGCATAACTTTGCCCAGATGTTGAGATTTTGGGAAAAAGCCTCGGTACATTACCGGGAACTAGGCGAACTTGATACAATCCGTAGACTGTACTACTCTACGAAGTAGAATGAAGAGACGGAGATGAGGATCGAGTGCCCCCATGTCAGCGTGGTCATTGATGACGGACACCTTTTGAAGAAAGATGATGAGAGCAGTGGCTGGATGCGCGTGGAACTCTGAGAATCTTGGAATGAAAGTCTTGGCACAATTTCGTTACTGGTGGAGGAAGAGGAAGGAAGACGTAGTGTGCAGCAGCGCCGTAAGGTACTCGCGAGTGGTCGTGGATCAGTGGATTAGGCTTGCTGGCGTTGCATTTCTATTGGAAAATGGCTCCGGGACTTTCATGGTCTTCAGGGGTCTGCGATAGCTTTGTGACGTCGTTTGGCGTCGCTGGCGTTGCTGGCATCGTCGGGCAGCTGCTTATCTGCACGACGTTTTGTCTTGGCGAATATTTCTCCCACGGTCTTTTCCCCCCTGCCTGCATTACCGCCAGTCTGTGAGTGGTTATCGCTTCTTTTTCGTGGTATACGGATAGGTACCTACTCCGTAGGCTGCAGCTGGACAACGCGAAGCAAAACAACAAACCTACCAAAACATGAAGCCTCGACACATGAATGGAACAGCTTCCCAGAAGCAGGGCGTGTCTTTCTGGTCTGTCTTCCTATCGTATCCGTACCTAGGGTCAAAATTCCAATTACCACCTCTCGCACGCGTCGTCGCATCCTCACACACGGACGGGAAAAGTATCTTGTACTTTTGGTTTCACGGCATTTCAGGCGGCGCCCGTCCAACAAGCCAGCTGGCCAGGTGTACCCATACACGCACACACGCACCACACGCCCGCCCGCTGCTTCTCTTCCCAAGTTTCCACTCGTCCAACAATGCACAGGGGGTTCTGTCAGAGCTCTTGGCATGACAGCAAGCCTGGCCGTGCCTTGATTCACCGACTCTCAATACGCCTCGAACTCTCTCTGTCTCCCTCTCCCCGTGCAAGGTTTCTCTCGCTAGAATCCAGTAGATGTGTACCTGCCTTTTCATCGGCTCCCCTTGCTACATATGCTATGAAGCCGAACATGTCACGAACTCTCTTGCTCTCTTTTGGATTGACGGCCTCCCTCACTTACACAACAAACAACAACAAGACAACATCTGCCTAGGTTCATACTCAGGTTCCCCCTTCTCACCGACTGGTCAGCAGCGAGAGAAAGCTCAAGTTGAAACGTACTCGCGCCGAAACCCCCAGGCCCGGTCCAGCCCAGCCCCCCCCCCCCCGGACAACCTTGAACACAAACCCCTGCTACCGCTACCGCTACCCGCGGCCACCAATCCACCACCGACCGACTGGACCACGTTGATCAAGACTGGGGAACGAGGGTCCTCACTTCTCTCCATCTCTCGAGAATCTGTTTATTATATCCCTCCCTCCCCCTTCTGCTGTTCGTCCAGCCACACTGTCAAAAGTCTTGGTATTGGGGCTTGTTCCACACTTCTTCACCGTCCCTTATCCCAGTGATACAACCTCGGTGTACCCGCCCTCTTCGACTTCATATAAGACGTACTTTCCGCCCTTACAGCATTGCCACTTCTTCCGAGTAAAGCACCTAGAAGTCATATAACGTCTAGACAAATATAGACACCTCAACTCGCCGTCATGTCGGCTCCGAGGTCACCCTACCGCCAGAGCTATAGATCGTCAACCGACGGACGATCGCGGCGACGAGAATCTAACCACCCCATCGTCCCTCCCGAGAAGGCACGCACTTCAAACTACTCCTCCCGCGGCGACGAGCTGCCGAGTCACAATGGGCACCTACACAGAAAACCTCCGCCAGGTAGCAAAGTCAGGGTCAAGCCGTCCGGCGAGAGTGGCCGCAGGGGCTTTCACCCCTTCAAGTTCCTCAAGATCTCCTGGAAATCATCAAGTCGAGCCTCCCTTCTCTGCAACTTTCTCTGGCCTTTCGTACCCGCCGCTTTTGCCGTTCGATACACTCGACCAAACGACCATGTCCTCATCTTCATCCTCACTTATATCGCCATGATCCCCTGTGCCAACATGGTTGGGTTCGCCGGCCAGGAGCTTTCTCGCAAAGTGAGCCACGTTTTTGGCGTGCTGATTGAGACGACGTGAGCAAAGTTCCGTTCTTTTGCACCTTGTGATGCTAATAGTAGTCGTTAGCTTTGGTTCCATTGTTGAAATCATCCTCTTCATGGTGCTACTCGCCGGAGACCAGTTTACCGTTATCAAGGCTGCCATTCTCGGTTCCATCTTGGCAACTATGCTCCTATGCCTGGGACTATGCTTCATTGCGGGTGGCATGCGAAGAGACGAGGCCGAGTTCAGTGAAGTCGTCAGTGAAGCCGGAAGCGGCTTGCTGCTTACAGCGTAAGTACTATCTACCGACTGACGGATAACACGCGATGCTAACAACTGTAACAAGAGGTGTTGCCCTAGCCATCCCGACGCTATTCGCCAACTCGCTCGAAAACCAGCTCACCGCCGAAGAACTCGGCAGCAAGACACGCCACATCTCGCGCATCGTATCCTGCCTCCTCGTCATCGCCTACGCCGTCTACGTCTACTTCCAGGCCCGAACCCACCACGGAATCTACGATGCCATCTTTGAGCACGACGAGCAGCGCGACCACGACAAGCGCAAGGACATCAACAAGCCCAAGCTAACGCTGACCGAGTGCCTCGTCGCCCTCGTCATCGCAATCACCCTCGTCACCTTCATGGCCATCTACCTCGTCGAGCAAATCGCCCCCATCGTCGAGCGACACAACATCTCGGACCCCTTCATGGGTCTCATCCTCGTGCCCCTCGTCGAGAAGGCCGCCGAGCACCTGACGGCCGTCGACGAGGCGTGGGATAACCAGATGAACTTTGCCCTGTCTCACGTCCTCGGCGCCACGCTGCAGACGGCCCTCTTCAACGCGCCGCTCGTCGTCATCGTCGCGTGGGGCCTACACAAGCACATGGACCTCGTCTTTGAGGTGTTCGATATCGGCATGCTCATCCTCGCCATCCTGACGGTTGGAAACTTCTTGAGGGATCAGAAGAGCAACTACCTCGAGGGATTCTTGAGCGTGACCATTTACGTTGCCATTGCCGTGGCTGCGTTTTATTACCCCAACCCGCCTGGTCACGGTGGTGCTGCCGAGGGTGGAAGTGCAGAAGGGGGCCACTGAGGCGGGCGAAGGGAAGGAAGCCTTGTGTTAGTACGAATGGAATAGGAAAGCGAAATAACGAAAGTCATGAAAGAAATGTACATAACTTGCTTTACGGGAAATGGTATCTACGGGTAGCAAACGGGTGTATAATCAAGAAAGACTGTTCCAATTGCAGGATCGTCAAAATCATTTCAATATTTGAATCGCTCAGAGTGGTATATATCTGCCAACTATCCACACACCCATCCATGTCGCGCGTGTAAGCCCAAGCAAGATCTCGGGGTGGGTGTGTCGTCTCCTTTTCTCCCGCGGAGATGTCCAAACACAAATACGCTGTTGAAAACAAAGAGACCCCGCTGATATGCGAAAAAAAAAAGTAGATGCCAGTCTTCCCAGCTTTGTTCGCCCCAGCCTAGAGGAAGTTTAGAGCAGATGACCGTTTTCCTTGCCGGAGATGCCTGATCATGTCGCACCTTTTTACTTTCTAGTATCGATGCTTGTCGTTGATACAAACTCCACCCACACCCCATCTAAGTACGGCCCGGCGCGGTGGCGGCTCTTGTCTGCTGACCAGGGGACCTGTGCCGAACTTCCGAGCTCCGTCGGCCCGGGTCACTTTGACGCACCTTTGGATGTAGGTTGGCTACCCTACTCCCCAGATGTTGCCTAGAAGAACAGTAGATCGTCTTCGTTCCATCCGAGGCTAGCAAGGCTGGCGCGCACCCCCTTCTCCAACGGCTCCGGTCCGCAGACGAGGACGAGCTCGTCGCCGCCGCCACCGCACCTGCCGACTTCCCTCTCGAAAAAAGTGCCGTCCATGCGACCCTTTAGCCCCGTCCACTCAGGTCCAGGTTTGGTGAGCGAGTACACCAGCCGACACTTGTCTGGCCCAGCGGTGGCGGTCATGGTGTCGAGCTCCGCGCGGCAGAGGATATCCTCCTCGACGCGGTTGCCGTCGAGAACGAGGCACGTCGTCGGGTCTGCCTCGTCCTTGAGGACGGCGCGGAGGACCTGGAAGATTGGCGTTATGCCGGAGCCGGCACAGATCATGACGAATCGTTTCACGGTGCGGTGTTTTCCAGAGATGGAGCACAGCCCCTTGCCGAGGTATTCGAATTTGCCAATGGGGCCCTTGAAGTCGACAAAGTGGCCGACGGGGATGGCGTCAAGGGCCTGCGTCATCTTACCGCCCGGCTGGCCGCCGGGGGTGTCGTAGTAGATCTTGACGAGGACGTGGAGTTGGCCCTTTTCG